CCAATGCGCGACCTGTCGCGCAATATAAATGGCCACGTACCTATCATATTGTGTTGACTCACGCACCTGGGTAACATGTCTGGGTCTCGAGGAGGTATTTACAATTCGCAAATCAAAAGTGTCTTTGGTACATATATACAAGACCGCGAATCATGTTGATAAACTCTTCCGTTAGTTAAACCAAACCAGTTTCATTATTCTCTCATTTTTTCATGACAAATCCCCAAAAACGGTTTCTTGACCCATATCTATTTTCGGTTTTGCATACATTAATGTACGGTATAGTCCGTAGGTTTACTTCAGCCAATCCGGTGCTGCATGTTAAGCAGCTCGGCGATGTTCGTAATTTCTTTCGCTTGATGATTGGTCGAAAACACCACGACCTCGTGTCAAACTAAAAATAACCTGGCACACCAAGGGTATACTTCAGAATGAGATACCAGCGCGAACATTACACCAAAGTGCTGTCACATATAACCTTAGTTATGATTATGAATATTTTACATTGACAGAGCAAAGGCTGCAATGCACAATGCTAGAATATATTTCTCTTGATAAAATAACAGTTTCAGCTACTATAATTTTCCGATCACTGCATCAGAATTCATCTCGAAAATCACTGGTATCTAGAAAGTCTGACAGTCGTGCGATGTTAAAATAACCTATCGTAATTGTGGATAGTAAGCATTAACGAGGCTCACATTTATGCTGTAAAGATATTTGCTGTCAGGAGTTAAAACGTAATTTATAAACCGGTGCCGTGTCAACTATTACATCTGCTTTGCAATCTGAAACTTTTTCTTCCGGGTTACAAAAATGTATTGTTTCATCCAATGGCATCGCTTGTTACTGTAAGCTAATACGGCCAATTTGATTGGCTGACACACGAAGCTGTCATGTTCAAGAATACTGTCTGGAATTTATGATAAGCAACTCGTGTTTATGTTGAAAAAGTTGGCAAACATGACTGACGGTAGGAAACCAAAATACTTAGTGACTTCTTTAGTGTCTTAGAAAAACGAACAACAAAACGTCTTAATATTGGCTCAGGAGTTCAACGAAATAGCGCCAAGTCTGTTAGCGGTGATGATGCTCTTGGAATGAAACCTTCAACATCTCCCAGTGGAATAAAAGAGGAGATACGTCGGTCATGTACCCCGCCACCAAGGAGGAGCCCGCGGGTTCATGATAGATCACCTCCAAGAAGGTACACACACCAACCTCTGGACACACCACCTCGGCCATGTACCCCACCACCAAGGAGGAGCCCGCGGGTTCATGATAGATCACCTCCAAGAAGATACATACACCAACCTCTGGACACACCACCTCGGCCATGTACCCCACCACCAAGGAGGAGCTGCGGGTTCATGATAGATCACCTCCAAGAAGATACATACACCATCCTCTGGACACACCACCTCGGCCATGTACCCCACCACCAAGGAAGAGCCCGCGGGTTCATGATAGATCAACCCCGAGAAGGCACCAGCTTCGGAACACACCACCACGGCAACAAACACCACCACCAAGGAGGAGCCCGCGGGTTCATGACAGATCAACCCCGAGAAGGCACCAGCTTCGGAACACACCACCTCGGCAACAAACACCACCACCAAGGAGCCCACGGGTTCATGACAGATCAACCCCGAGAAGGCACCAGCTTCGGAACACACCACCTCGGCAACAAACACCACCACCAAGGAGCCCACGGGTTCATGACAGATCAACCCTGAGAAGGCACCAGCTTCGGAACACACCACCTCAGCAACAAACACCACCAAATGATCAAGGTATGAAACTACTGTTGTGTAGAAACAAATCTCTTGTAAATTTTTGAAATGATTATAACTTATCTGTGTAAGGAATGGGTTGTTTCATAGATAGCAGTAGGCTTGTCAAGCCAACAAATGAAAGCGTAACTTACTTTTCCAAAGTTTAAACATGGTTGTGTGAAAATGTTAAATGTTAAAATAACATAAGGACAAAGAATTATTTCTGTAACTGTTTGAGTCTATACTGAATTGGATATGCCTACGTATGGTCTTGGATTTCTGCGGATGCTGATGGTTGCCATCGAGAACAACACAGCAAAGGTGGAGGAAAATACCAGACTGTTGCAACACCTCATCAGGATAATGCCAGCCTCAGCACCTGAAAATGTTGGACCCAGTATTCAGCTGCCTCTGAAAACTAAGGAGGAATTGTGGGAGGCTGAGGAAACCCTGGGCGAATGGAATGGAAGTCCAGGGAAAACCGCTTTCAAAACGCTGGGGAGACTGAAGAATGTCGTTATAGGTAGATATGATGAATATGGCTCTAGTTCAATCACGTTTAATTCTACTATATGTGTCCCTATTGTGTAGCAATGTATTAATTACCATTTTGGATATCCATATAATTCTTTACTGTTTACACAAAGAAACCCAGCAATTAAGAACGCTACTGATAAAGAGATCGAAGCTAGGATCCAGCCGTGGTTCAGATACGCAGCGGATAGGGAGGGAGCGAAGCAGGCGCGATAGCTACGGAAAGCTCTGCAAGATCGTTACTTGTCACATATCTCATTAAAATCAGTTCTTGAATTTGCTCCCTGCTTCTCTCCAGTCTAACATCTTATGGAGCCTCATAGAGTTGTCCACCGAAATATTCTGAAAGTGCCTTGGAAGTTGAAATGAATGAAATCATTTCCGGTACAAAGTTCACAAGGATGACCCACTCACAAGTGGTCCATCAAATCTTGGGACAAATCCAAGATTGGATTTTATTGAATTTGTGAAAACAATTTACATTTTTTATAATTACTATAGTCATATAATCTGTTGATATGAATGACACACTTATCACCCATGTCCAGTTTGTCGCAATCAGCGATGATGGTATATATTTTTATTTCCCTGTAATTTTATCAGAGACGACAAGAAAATGGTAAAATAAACAAATTGATATTTCAGGTATTCAGCGAAGAGTTCTTTTCCTTTTAACTGACATAAGGGATTCACTGAACAAAATGCAAGATCATCCAGGAATCCAACACCCACAGCACACTCCTGCAGAGGTTATCAGTTTACAACAAGCCAGCAACTTGGAGGAATTTAAAGACCTGGAAACACATCTTGAAGAGAACTACCACACTTATGTGGTAGGTAAAGTTATGTCCATTATATAAAACAAATATTGGCTTTGTTTTGAAGAATAGGGCTTGACAGAGGTAGTTAGAGAACTGTTCTGTATGCAGTAAGGTTTGGGTGGGAAAAAAGCAACATTAAAGTTGTGGCTGACTTCCTAAATTTCATAAGTAGGGCAGGTAGGTATGATATAATAGGATAATAATTGGCTTGTCTGTCCACAAGTTCCTTCTTTTTATAAATGAGTTTTTCTGTATTTTGGACAATTTGTGTCCATCCTATTGCATAAAAACTATTCATCCGAATACTTTTGTATCTGACAAGTGTCGTTTACACTTTTTGCAGTGGTATATCAACAGGTTTGTAATAAATCAATGAATTATAAAATGTTGTCAATATCCGCCAATAGTAAGGATGTGCGAGGTCAGGTATGCAGGGTCTGGGGTATTAGTGAGCCGTGCTCATATTTGTGCTTCTTTTGTACTGTAGTAATCTGTTACACCAATCGTCATCCATCTGCAACATAATGTAACGGCCAAACTGAACCTTGTAGGTCATGGTGATAAGGTTGGATTCAGAACAACAAGGCTGTGTTCACCTTTTGTAGGTCATGGTGATAAGGTTGGATTCAAAACAACAAAGCTGTGTTCACTTCGTGTAGGTCATGGTGATAAGGTTGGATTCAGAACAACAAAGCTGTGTTCACTTCTTGTAGGTCATGGTGATAAGGTTGGATTCAGAACAACAAAGCTGTGTTCACTTCTTGTAGGTCATGGTGATAAGGTTGGATTCAAAACAACAAAGCTGTGTTCACCTCTTGTAGGTCATGCTGAACAACAAGGCTGTGTTCACTTCTTGTAGGTCATGGTGATAAGGTTGGATTCAGAACAACAAAGCTGTGTTCACCTCTTGTAGGTCATGGTGATAAGGTTGGATTCAAAACAACAAAGCTGTGTTCACTTCTTGTAGGTCATGGTGATAAGGTTGGATTCAGAACAACAAAGCTGTGTTCACTTCTTGTAGGTCATGGTGATAAGGTTGGATTCAGAACAACAAAGCTGTGTTCACCTCTTGTAGGTCATGGTGATAAGGTTGGATTCAGAACAACAAAGCTGTGTTCACTTCTTGTAGGTCATGGTGATAAGGTTGGATTCAAAACAACAAAGCTGTGTTCACCTCTTGTAGGTCATGGTGATAAGGTTGGATTCAGAATAACAAAGCTGTGTTCACTTCTTGTAGGTCATGGTGATAAGGTTGGATTCAAAACAACAAAGCTGTGTTCACTTCTTGTAGGTCATGGTGATAAGGTTGGATTCAAAACAACAAGGCTGTGTTCACCTCTTGTAGGTCATGGTGATAAGGTTGGATTCAGAACAACAAAGCTGTGTTCACTTCTTGTAGGTCATGGTGATAAGGTTGGATTCAGAATAACAAAGCTGTGTTCACTTCTTGTAGGTCATGGTGATAAGGTTGGATTCAGAATAACAAAGCTGTGTTCACTTTGTGGGTCATGGTGATAGGGTCATGTGTGAGGTATGGTGATAAGGTTGGATTCAGAATAACAAGGCTGTGTTCACCTCTTGTAGGTCATGGTGATAAGGTTGGATTCAGAACAATAAGGCTGTGTTCACTTCTTGTAGGTCATGGTGATAAGGTTGGATTCAAAACAACAAAGCTGTGTTCACTTCTTGTAGGTCCTGGTGATAAGGTTGGATTCAGAACAATAAGGCTGTGTTCACTTCTTGTAGGTCATGGTGATAAGGTTGGATTCAAAACAACAAAGCTGTGTTCACTTCTTGTAGGTCTGTATAAGGTCATGGTGATAAGGTTGGATTCAAGAACAATAAGGCTGTGTTCACTTCTTGTAGGTCATGGTGATAAGGTTGGATTCAAAACAACAAAGCTGTGTTCACTTCTTGTAGGTCATGGTGATAAGGTTGGATTCAGAACAACAAGGCTGTGTTCACCTCTTGTAGGTCATGGTGATAAGGTTGGATTCAGAACAATAAGGCTGTGTTCACTTCTTGTAGGTCATGGTGATAAGGTTGGATTCAGAACAACAAAGCTGTGTTCACTTCTTGTAGGTCATGGTGATAAGGTTGGATTCAAAACAACAAAGCTGTGTTCACTTCTTGTAGGTCATGGTGATAAGGTTGGATTCAGAACAACAAAGCTGTGTTCACTTCTTGTAGGTCAAGGTGATAAGGTTGGATTCAAAACAACAAAGCTGTGTTCACTTCTTGTAGGTAAGTCAAATTAAGTTATTCTTCGGAGACATGTTTTCAAGGGTTCACATTCTGAAGAGCTTGCTTTAAAAGATGAGATAAATTGAAAGTTTGCTGGCTAAAAAAACAATCGTTGAAGTTGAGTTACTTTGCAGACAAAAGTTTTCCGGATATTCTAGTTAAATCATAATATAAGGGTTTTGAAAGTTGTTATTGGAGTTGTAACATTTCACTAGCAAAGACTACCGGTAGTAATTAACAAGTTCCTTTGAGTCCTGAAGGAGGACAATATGACTTGACTGTCACTTAGTCCTTTTTTACTAATTGATAATATTCTCTCAGTTGTAAAGACTTATTAAGTCACGCTTATAATAGGGCTAAATTGAGATTCCCCCCTCAGGGTCTTTGTAACGACTGCTGTCAATAGTATACAAGCAAATAAGTAATGTCATAATGATGCTCTGGAAAACTTATTAATGTCTGAAAACAAAAGGACAATATCCCCCCAAATAGTATATGCCTATTGTACCCATAATATCCTGTAAAATGGAATTATTTCTCAAAACCATGAGGAATCATTTCACTTAATTACTTGATTCAATTTGATCTTTTCAGAGACTATAACAAACTCTCAGAGAGTAACAGAAAGCGAGGTCTACCTCGAGATGGGAAAATACCTAAAGAAACGCCCCTGGACGATGTGGCGGGGGTGGCAGATCAAAAGAAGACTGATGCCCCAAATTTGTATTTATATTGAAATGAAATGAATAAACTAGAGTTTACATTATTTACAAATTCTTTTATCAATTTATGTGGAGATAATGTACTTGCGCTTATAAACTTCAAGCGTTCAATTTCATGCGCAACTCAAAGTTCATGCTTAATTCTGACTTCATGCTCAAACTTAATGCTGAAATTCAAGGTAAAACATTGATCTGCATGAAATTGACCTCAAGAAGTCTTATAACCTGGAGCCCTGCCGGTGGGATGAGGACGGTACATGTTTGAACTGGCAACTTGTGTAAACAACAGGTATTCTATTTAGTAGAATAATAAAATGTGTTTTGGTGCACCATTAAAACAATACAGTAATTGGCATCTAATCAACGTCTTTTATACAATTTTTCAACGTTTAGATGACGTCTATCTCTAGACGTCTGAATGACATTTAAGTTTCATCAGCTTCTAGACTTCCATTTTAAACTATATTTAGATGTCATTTCAATGTCTTGTGTAGACGTCTATTAGACGTTGATGTGCCTGCTTGGAAGCCATTCTGGATAAAACAAGCCACAGAATCGGAATGTAAAACCTACCTTTGTAAGAAGCATGAGAACTTTAGATTCATAATTGAAAATTTGTTCATGTTGAAAGTTCTGAAGAATCTGAATTTAGATGATGTACTCAGACTTGCTTCCTGGCATGTGAACAACAAATTCTGCATGTATGGCAGTAACTTTTGGAAATGGTTTAGCGGTATTCAATTATAGCGTAAACCTTCCCTCTGGATTATGGTTGCCTTAATTCTGTGGTTCCCAGAGTCACATACAGAAAATGAAATGAAAACATTTAACCCGAAGTCATAGTTATCCCTAGTGGTATGCTTTAGATCTTAACTCCAAGAGTTACCTCCCATTGACATGACGTCATCCTATTGTCTGTTTGAAAACTTCACAATTTTCTGTATGCACTACAGTCAAAACGTACAATGCCAAAAGTTCATCCCCGATCTTGACCCTCATTCCTTATGTGTAGCGTGTTTTTCGGGTATCCCATGCACATTAGTAGATCGCTGTTTATAATGTTCAGATTTATCTGAAATTGAATGGCTCAATATGGAGACAGCTATGTGTCAGTCCAAAAAGCGTAAATCTTCTCCGGGGACAGAATCTAGTAAGACTAAGAAATCTACTCCTAGTACACCATCTTCCTCTCAAAGATCAGATTCTAAGGCAAGGTCAAATCTAGATCTAGGTCGAAATCGGACTCATCTCAAATTGACATGTTGGCTATGGCAGATTTATTCTCATCCTTTAAATCGGAAATGCAGGCCTTGGTTAGGATATGGAAGTGAAGGATATATCTGAAGGATATGGAAGTGAAGGATATATCTGAAGGATATGGAAGTGAAGGATATATCTGAAGGATATGGAAGTGAAGGATATATCTGAAGGATATGGAAGTGAAGGATATATCTGAAGGATATGGAAGTGAAGGATATATCTGAAGGATATGGAAGTGAAGGATATATCTGAAGGATATGGAAGTGAAGGATATATCTGAAGGATATGGAAGTGAAGGATATATCTGAAGGATATGGAAGTGAAGGATATATCTGAAGGATATGGAAGTGAAGGACATATCTGAAGGATATGGAAGTGAGAAATGAGGCACGTATCAACTCTGGACAAGAAGGGTCCTGAGAACAATCACAAGAAGAACTTCAGAAGAACCTAACTGTTCCACCATATCCTTATAGTATAAATTAAAGAGAAGTACAGGAAGTCAAAGGTTGGTGTCAAGAAAACCCTATCAACAACTGCAGCTGGAAATTTGATGAAGAAATACAGGTTCATAACTCATACTTCAAGGATGTTTTGTTTCCGTAAACCATACTGCAGACATTCTGTAAACCATACTGCAGACATTCTGTAACAAGAAAACTGGCTACAAAAGTAAATGAATTGTTTTAGTGCGATGACAAGAGTCTGATGACCTCTGGCATAAAACAGACAATCACCTTCAGGAAAATAAAAAAGCAAAAGAGGCTTCTGAATGGAACCGTTAAGGAATTATACCAAAAGTATTTGCAAGAGAATGTCACAGATGTCATCAGTTTCTCCTTATTTTGGAGACTAAAGCTATTCTGGATAAAACAAGAGGTATTATGTTTATGTTGCTATTTCCACGATTAATGTGGGCTTTTCTGAGTTTTTCTGCACAGTGGGAAAGTTTTCTTTGGTAGGCCTGTAGTTTATGTTTGGTGGACCCTTAAAGAAGAAAACGGAAGAGGACCAGTGGAACATTTTCACTACATGGAATCTGATTGAAGCAGAGAAAAAGAAGTTGAGGCCATACTTTGATAAATTGAAGGGGTTAGAATAATAAGGAGGTTAACTCCAAATTTTTTACATTTCTTTTTAGCATTTGAATGATGAAAAAAAATGTATGTAAATGTTTGCCAAACAGTCTTGGAAATATCCAAAACAAGCAAAACAGAAGGATTTTATGTGTGTTTCACATCAAGGGTAACTAACCTTGCTCTATCACCTTCAATCTGACAACCGACCATGTGGTTTGAAAAAGCACAACAATCATGGAAATTATTTGGGTAATTATATAATTTTCTAATCATTATAAAACGCTTTTCTTCAGTAGATATCGTTTCAAAGGTGTCAATTCTATGACAATATACAATAATTATACTTTTATTTATTTAAATGTTTATTTTGAAATGATAATTATCAGATGTTGTACTGGAGATAACCTTGATGTTATTTATATATATTTTATGACAGCTTTTAAAAACCAAAAAAACTATTTTAGGGGGATCTACTGTTAAGCTTATATTCTTGGGAAGCAATTGCAGGGCTCGATTTAGTGCTCTGTTACTTGCACTGGTGCAACCCAATATTACAAAGTGCAACCTAGTTATTTGTCTAACTTGCACCAGGTGCAAGTCAATTTTTGAGTAGGTAAACTTCTGAATAAACCATCTACATAATTCAATAGCATATTTCTGATAATACATATTGCATTAAAAACAGTGCAACTGGAATTTGGCTGGTGCAACTAGGTTTTTATCTTAGGTTGCACCTGGTGCAAGTGGGTTAACATCTCCTAAATCGAGCCCTGGGTTGCTTTTCAACCTACATTGATAACATAATAAAACATGAAATTACTCATGCGTATTTTGTTACTGTTTAGGATGAAGAACAACAGTTGTCAGGAGAAAGTGACACAGAAAAAACAACTGACACATTTTGTCAAGAATACAAATGCCACATTTGCAGTTATGTCTCATCCATCGAAACTGCTGGTTTTCTACTAGGACTGATTGTTGAAACTGAAGCTTTCCTTCTCTGTTTGCCCTCTGGACAGTATATAGTTGGTTGTTTAAGTGAGTGGATGAAGTGGTTTCGTCTAACATGTATCCACTCAACATCCCCTGATGAGATGAAATAACAGAACGCAAACAGAGTCACAAAATATGCTTACACTTGCTTACACTACATTGAGCTTAAAATAGCAACTACTGCCCCATCATTTTTAGAAATACAGTAATTAAGAACTCCACATCTTTGGTGAGCATTTTGCAGTCCATAATTTTGCACTGACATGAAAACAGTGCTAAAGCTAATTTCAAGGCAAGTACTTCAAAGCCTACAACCATAGTCAGAGATTCAACTAGACTTGATGTGTCTGCTCACAGACAAATGCTATGGACAGTATTGTTAACCTTTCTCACATCACAAAGTCATTCACTGATCAGAATAGCTTGAGGAGACTCCCAACTCCCGAACCAGGAGTGTTTGAAGGTGGAAAAGAACATTTGAGACACTGATTGACAATCGTGGGGTTCCTTCTGCAGCATGTATATACTATCTGCAGAAATGTCTTGGAGGTCCAGCTCGGGAATGTGTTGAAGAATCCTATAATGCGCCAAAGGCCTTGCTTGACAAGAGATTGGCAATCAGTTTGTCATTGCGAACTCCTACAGGGACATGATTGAAGCATAGCCAAAAATCAAGGGAAAGGATGGTGTGGCATTGCGGAAACTAGCTGATTACCTGGGCCAATCATCAGACCCAACCTCAGCCTCGAATTGAATAAGAATAGCCCCCACAAGGCAACAAACGACTACACAATCAGCTGCTGCCTAAGAGTCAAGCCCTCAAGATTGAGAGACTCTGAAGTGTAATCTTGAGTTGTCACATTGTACTTAACAATTGAGAACTAATATTTCTTTTTACTAGAGCAATCAATGCCTTATGATATTATCATCAAATTATTATGTTAAATAATTAAATTTAAATTTTTCACTAGCTTGATAACGGAGTAAAAAGCTGTGTCAAAACGTCTCCTATTAAAGAAGTTGGTCATCCACATATTTTAGCCTTCCCTAACTTAAATTTTGTTTTGTGTTCAACACACAGTGTTGACACAAGATCATGGCTCCACATTGCTAGGTACACTATTCTAGATGTACACACAAACTGGTGGTGTTGTCACTCTGAAATTCTTACTGAATCTTCTAACCCACTCAAGCAGTGGTTCTGGCCAAGATGGAATGTGTAACAAAGGGAGATAATACAACCAGCTTGTTCTGACATTATTTTATCACCCACAGAACACAAGCCACCAGAACATCTTCATGCTGACAGTGAACAGCTTCAATTCCTACCTGGATATAACCCCTCACTAAGCCAGGCTTGAATCACTTCCCATCTTCTATGCACAATATGAAATGTGAGGCTGAACCACAAATTTCAAGCTTCGTCATGACTTACACTCACAGTTTGTGCAATCGTTCAATGTCTTCTCTGAAGAAACAGACACATCTTGTACTATGGATGTCCTTGACCCTGCATCTCCACAGCACCTTTCAGACCCCTGACGCTTCTCAGGGCAGTTTTCAGTCCCGGGTACACCTCTCTGTTTTAGTGTCCGTCGATGCCACTGTCTTCGTCACCTGGTCCGTGGTAGTCACACCCTTTCCTGGTGGTTTCCGTCGTTGGGGACGCGGCGGTCTGTTGGCCTCATTGTTGACTGTCCAGGCTCCAAGACTGTCGTTGGCGTAGAAGTCCATCGGGTACACCTCCTGCCACTCAGTTGACTTCATTGCTACGGACATCTGTAACAGTGGTAACATTGTGACCCAAGGTCAAGGACAATGGGCGAAGGACGTTGTTTATCACACAGCAATACTAAAGAGTGAGTGAGTTTAGTTTTACGTCGCACTCAGCAATATTCCAGCTATATGGCGGCGGTCTGTAAATAATCGAGTCTGGACCAGACAATCCAGTGATCAACAGCATGAGCATCGATCTGCGCAATTGGGAACCGATGACATGCGTCAACCAAGTCAGCGAAACTGACCACCCGATCCCGTTAGTCGCCTCAAAGACAAGCATAGTCGCTTTTTATGGCAAGCACATGGGTTGCTGAAGACCTATTCTATCCCGGATCTTCACGGGTCATCTCATATATAAATAGTAGTGAGATGTAAGTAATTTCACAAAGACTAATTGCTCATTGTTGTGTAAAGCCATATCAGAGTTAGCACAGGTCACCAGCAACCCTTCCTTCTTGCTCGAGTTAAATTGATAGGTTGTGTACTGCGACTCAATGCCATGGTTTAAAGCATGTCGATGTGCTCTGGTATCGTTTGTCATGTCATGTCATGTCAGTCCCTTCATTATATTGGTCCAGACTGACAAACATCTATGACACGGGTCTAGTATTTCTTTAGTATTGCGACCCGTGAAGATCCGGGGTAGAATAGGTCTTCAGCAACCCATGCTTGCCATAAAAGGCGACTTTGCTTGTCATTAGAGGCGACTAACAGGATCGGGTGGTCAGGCTCGCTGACTTGGTTGACACATGTCATCGGTTCCCAATTGCGCAGATCGATGCTCATGCTGTTGATCACTGGGTTGCCTGGTCCAGACTCGATTATTTACAGACCGCCGTCATATAGCTGGGATATTGCTGAGTGCGGCGTAAAACTAAACTCACTCACACTCACTATATATGAGATTTTGTTTGCTTGTTGATCAAGCAATATTTCAGTAATCACAGTGGTTACTAAATAACTGAGTCTGGACCAGACAATCCAGTGACTGACATAACGATCCTGTTAGTTGCATCATACTACAAGCATGGGTTGCTGAAAACCAATTATAATCCGGATCTTCACAGGTTATTTTGATCTCATATGTTCCAGATAAGTCTTAAAAGCAGCTTCACATTCGAGCAACAAACCCCACAACAGTCCAACAAAATGGCAACACATTTATGACTGAAGAAATTTCCATGCTATAGTCGACATAAAATATTTCCTTGCTCACTTAAAGAAACTAACATATGAAAGCTTTCATTTACCTCGTATGGAGAGAGAACTGGTTTGTCAAAGAACGCTCCCCAGTCTATAGAGAGCCTTGGACAGGCCACTTGCACCCACCTGTAACAACATACAGGTGTTACAACTGTGTTGTCATCATGGTCATCAAAGTCATAACAGTGTTACCGCTGCCTGGGATTTATCTATTGTCTTTCTATTTAAGTGTTTCTTATGCCATTATTCCTAATTTCAAACTAAGTGGCTAAATGTGTGGGAAAGAAAGTCGTTATGTTGCTTAAACTAGTCAGTGAAATACAAGTCAACTCAACAAAGCCAAAACTACAGTTTAAAACATGAATTGGCAGCCTTGCAATTCAAATTTGGGAATATTTATAATAATTTTCTACAGACCTAATTTATAAACTCAATGAGGCTGTGTAGCTGGTCAAGTGCAATACGCAAAAAGACTTTGTTAAAGGAAACAAGTTACGCTCGTTTTAGTAACAGCAAACTTGTCGAGGAAAAGCACACAAAACAACAACTTCCAAATCACGATAAAGCTCCAGTTCACCACTAGGCTTAAACTGTTAAACATTTCTGGATGAAACTTGCTACACAAATGTCTACAATCCAACTGTCCAGAAATGGAAAAGAGATGGATGGACATGCTGATCCCTATATTCCAAACTGGTTTTACTGACTGACTGACTGAGTTTGGTTTTACGCCGCTTTTAGCAATATTCCAGCAACATCACGGCAGGGGACACCAGAAATGGGTTTCACACATTGTGCCCATGTGGGGATTCGAACCCGGGTCTTTGGACACGATAGCGCTTTAACCATTAGGCTACCCCACAAACTGTTTTTAACCAGGGTAATACAAAACATAATAAACAATGACAAAAAACTTGAGGTTGATTACAGAAATGTAGACAATACTAACGCATCTACATCGTGGAACAGCTTCAGCTTGTCTGGGTAGAGTTCCGACAGCAGCACAGTGATGAAGTGTCTGCCTGATGATTGTATCTTCTCCTGCATGTGCTGAAACAGAAATGCAATGTGACTGGGTTCCTGTCAAGTTAAATGTGTAGTTTCTTTTTAACAGAAATAACCATGATAAGGCACAGAAATTGGGAGTTTTTTCATGTTTCTTGTTTGTTTACAGATTTGCGACCCTAAAAATTAAATATGTGTAAAGAAACAAAATAAACTAATATACATTCGAATTTCGGTTTTGCTTCAAATTTAGGATAATTTAAGAAAAGAAGTGCTAAAGTAATTTGATGCACTTCACTAGGTAAGAACCATTTCATCAAAGATCTTGATTATGAATCAAATTGTCTTGACTGGGTGCCACCATTTTGTTTGAAGCAAATGCAAGTTACATGATGAAATCTGACGTGTAAGTTGTAGGTGCATGGAAGGGATATCACTCGCATTAGCAACTGGTGGGACTTCGATTGACCCCCAAAATTCCAGTTAGTTACCTCCCTTTTGAAGACATATGCAATCATCCTAACAAAAAGAAGCATTTTGGAGAAAGACAAAAGTTCAATATATTCCTTTAATAAAAATTACCTCCAAAATCTTTGGCGACCCCTGCCTTCCCAGTGTTCCAAGCACAACCCCAATCTTCCTTGCTTGTGCTGCATTGGCAATAGCTTCCTGCCTGACCTGATGCATTCTGGGAGTGTCGTAGTACTCGCGTGTAAACTTCTTATCATAAGGATCATACCTGCAAGTAGGAGATAGTGATGACAAGGAGGTGAGGTGAGGTGAAATTGGGTTTAACGTCGTGCTTGAGAATATTTCACTCATATGACGACGTGCATGCGTGTGTATGTGTATGTGCGGCTGCTTGTACTAGCCCAGACTGAAGCTGGTTTTATAGTGCTAGCCCACTGAGATACCATGCCGCAGTGAAGCATGAATACCCCACTATGACACATTATACTGACTCCGAGCTGACCAGTCCTTGTTGTACCCATTAATGCCGAGCGCCAGGCAGGGACCAACAAGTACCATATTTTAACGTCTTTTGGTATGACGCGGTCGGGGATCAAACCCACGACCTTCCACTCTCCGGGTGGACGCTCTAACCACTACACTACGGAGGCGGTCGTGAGGACAAGGATAAGAAATAAGAGTTTCCTTAGGTACATCCACATGATGTGATGTGAGTGAGTTTGGTCTGACACTTCTTGAGCATGCTGCACCTTTACATCAGTTCCATCAAGTTGAATTTTAGATTAAAGCTTAAAATGATACAGGCTGTACAAGTTGGCAGAATTAATGATGAAATATTGATCCAAAAATGAAGGTATTGATCCAGATGATGGCTAGATGAGGCTACAGATTCATGATGAAACTAAAGATCCATCCATGATGAAGATCCAGATGAGGCTAATGAAGGCATGGATCCATGATGAAGATATTGAAGGTCCACAATGAAGGTATTGATCCAGATGAGGCTACAGATTCATGATGAAACTAAAGGTCCATCAATGAAGGCATGGATCCATGAATGAAGGTTGATTGAATTGATCCGAGGCTACAGATTCCACAATGAAGATCCATGATCCACGATGAAAAGGAAGGTATTGATCCACAATGAACGTATTGATCCACAATGAACGTATTGATCCACAATCCATGACCAAGGATAGAGTACTGACACACCCAGAGATATACTAAACAATACATCCTGCATTCTATACACACAAGTAGATTGATGTTCATGATGTCAATCAATGGATTATTATATTTATTATTATTTATTAGATCATATTTACGTTGTGACATTAACAACACCAAGCACTCACCTGTATGCAGGTATATCTGGGTTGGATATCATGATGGACTCCAAGTGGAACCGTCCATCTCCTAGATAGCTGGAAGTTACATTTCAAGAAGTCAATATTACAAGCACCATCAGGTATTTGTCATCGGTCTAAACGGAATTCAACCTCAGTCCCAGGCAAATGGGCATCACACACCCAAGGATGGGCCATTTTGCACATTAAGGGGTGGAAATAACCCAAAAGTCCAGCCCATTAAAATTTTGAAGTTTACTATTGATACAAGGGCAAGTGATTTCCCCATTCTAAATTCAGAAAGATGGCTAATAATCTATTGCTACAAGGGAAGTGACCCATTCTAAATTTAGAAAATGGCTAATAATCCTGAAAATGGCCCAGTGTCAAACTTTTCTATCCCAATCCCTGCACACCCAGTGAGTGGATGGAGACTAACCCAAAATGTTTCTTCGCATCCAAGACAATTCAGGGGACAACAGCATGAATACTGTGGCTGGTGACTTAGCATACTTCACTTCATTCTAAAAGACTGATGACTGAGTTTGGTTTTAGGCATTTAACAATATTCCAGCAACATCACAGCGGGCACACCAGAAATGGGCTTATGTACCCATGTGGGATTCAAACGTGGTCTTGAAGAAAAGCCAAAGCTTTACCCCTTAGGCTACCCCACCCATTCCAAAAGAGTTTACTGATATCTCTTCACATGTTTAGAAAGAATGAGCCTGATATGCATGGGGATTTCAACGTTCGGTTGAAGAAAATTAAACACCAACACATTCCACTATGAGTAAATTTCTTACCAGAATAGTAATTGCAGTAACTATGGTAATAAGGAACATGCAACTGACACATATAACTTGATTTAATGCAACATTCTGTGTCTCAGAAAACCCTGAAGGATGGTGTTTTACGCTCCAAGATGTATATTGGCTGAAAGGGTTCCTAAACTATTTTCCTGACAAATTCCATGACTTTTCCAGGGTAGTCCGTATCTAAAAACTTGACTAACATCATTCAATGAATTAACACTTTTCTTCACAGTGGTTAGAGCACTGGGTCACCACTGTGACCACCCAATCCTCATATTAGTCAGCTGGAGAATCCACTGAAAATGTGTTGATGACTTACATGATGGAATCGATGTCTTGTAACCGTGGTGATGTGCAGCCAAGGATCTCCCCTGGTGACAAGGGTTTTGACTGTGGAATGGTCACCTGGTAGTCAGCCTTCAGGTCCTGGCTGGCACCCTAGGCACAACAGTTTTGTTTATTTGTTTGTCGTTTGGCACCACACAAAGCAATATTCCAGTAATATCCATGTGGGTTGTAAAAATGACTCTGCACCGGGGCCTAAATTTTCGAAGCTCTCTTAGCGCCAAGATAGTCATAAGTGCCATACATTAACATTGACTTACGACTATCTTAGCACTAAGAAAGCTTAAAAAATCTTGTGAAATACCACTTTGAGTAAGTGAGTGAGAGTATGGTTTAACGCCGCTTTTAGCAATATTCCAGCAATATTCCAGCAATATCACAGTGGGGGACACCAGAAATGGGCTTCACACCTTGTACACGAGGGGAACTAAACCCTGGCCTTCAGCATGACGAGCAGATGCTTTAACCCTTAGGCTACCCCGTCGCCCCTGCCACTTTGAACATTTTTCCATTTATCTCAGGACATTTCACCTTCAATGAAGTTAGTGCAAACCCATATGCAGGAGTGCTCTTTAATCATATTGATAACATATTCTTGTACATAATTAACAGTCTTGGAGTGGGCTATAGAATTTTAAGGCATTGGGATTACATACAGTCTTTGAAAATGACATCAACTGAAACCCTGAGAACATGAAAAGTATTTCCTGAAAGAAAGATGGTACACACCTGCAGAGCTGCCACAAACTGTATGGTACTGACCAGCGCCAGTTTGGCGCCAGGCTGGAAGTTATACCGCACTGTCTCCAGGAAGTGAAGAGTATCAATCTTGATGTCCACAAACACATACAGCATCTGTATCCCCTCTGTGCGATCAATTGGAACTGGAAATAATACAATAATATCAGGAAGCCTGGAAGTTACAGCATAATTTACTCCTTTACGTACTTTTAGATGTGTCCTGTGTTTACTCAGCAGGAAACATAGGGGCCTCAATACTTAGTTGGTAACTTCCCATTGTGGCACTTGTCTCTGTCACACATCACTGATTTCATAGGCCACAGAGAGAAATTGAGTAGAGGCCACGTGCCACAGAGGTACAGGTTACCAGTTTCAATAAACAAGGTGTGAATGGCTCAGGTTTAATAGTGCTTAATTAACTAGGTGTTAATGGTGTATAATTAATTAATTGTTATATTGCTACTAATGGTATTGTGGTAATCTCTTCTGCTCGCCTGCCGATCGCTACTGATGATATCAAGCTACAACTTAGTACAAGGTGATTGGTGCACGTAAAAAATTGGTGATGACTTTATCCTATGTGATGGTGTTCGCAACTGTAAAAAACCTCAACAAGCTATGTAACAAGTCAATTGTACTGATGGATGGAACATTCAAAATTTGCCCAAAACTGTTTTACTTGTTGTATATAATTCACTTACACATGCCTCATGGAGCTTTACCGGAACTATTCTGTTTGCTCCCTGACAAGAAAGGTTCCACCTACCACAGACTTATCCAGTTTCTTCAAACGAATTGTGAGACTCTTGGACTTACATTCTCACTTGGAGTTGAGATTTTTTATGCATTTTAGTAACAACCTCTCATACAATGCTATCAATCTGCCAATCAAGGTCAATCAAATACTGTGTCAATGACCTAACAGTTTATCAGTCGCGGCTTACTGCACAAAAGTGCCACTCAGGGACACACAAAAGTACCATAGGCCACTGCGGGAAATTACATCCAGATCAATTAAAATCTCATAGGCCAGAGAGAAGTGCCACAGAGGTACTAAACCACTTAGTTTAACATTATTAAATGGATCAACTCGGGAAATAATCAACTCGGGACCAGACAATCCAGTGATCGATATTGTGAGTAGCCATCTATGCTATCAGGGTATAATGAGTGAGTGAGTTTAGTTTTACGCCGCACTCAGCAATATTCCAGCTATATGGCAGCAGTCTGGAAATAATTGAGTCTAAACCAGAAAATCTAGGGAGCAACGGAATCTACGCAATTGGGAACTGATGACATTTGTCAACCAAGTCAGCGAGTCTGACAATCTTATCCCATTAGTCACCTCTTACGACAAGCATGGGTTACTGAAGATCAATTCTAACCTGGATCTTCACGGGAGACAAGCATGGGTTACTGAAGATCAATTCTAACCTGGATCTTCACGGGAGACAAGTATGGATTACTAAAGATCTATTCTAACCTGGATCTTCAAGTCTCAAGGTTTAATGACACAAAATCACTCAAGTTACTAAACTGTGGTCAATATTACCCCCACTTCACTGTCTGGATACCTTGCTAGGCAACATACTCATGGGGATGCCTTCATGTAAATGTTAACTAAATGTTCGTCTCCATCATGTCAGAAGTGAACACTGCTGATACATTGTTGGAAATGAAGTGCCACTAAACAGCAGTCTTCGACCTTCACTGAAGACATATGGTGTGGAGAAATCCTTCAGTAATATGGAAATTAGAAGAAGAAGCAACTCTGTTTTCAATTTTGCAGTCCTTTATCATTGATTTAAGACCGCTAAATTAAACATGATAATGATAAAGGACCGCAAAATTGAAAACAGAGAGCTTTTTTTTTCATTCTAGCACGATTGATAAGCGTTTTAAAACAGAACTGTTTGGTGTGCAAGAACACAAGGCGCGATGGTGTCTTTTTCCTGGAAATCGCTTGGAATCGTCCCAGTCAGGGACAGGTTGTGTAATGAACATAAATGCTTTATTTCAGGAACCAGTATGCTTGTATTTGTAACAAGTAGCATACATAAATATAAAAAATACAGTTTACTGTGAGCAAGTACAATTATTTGATTTTTCTCAAGCGAATTATTGATCTCCCCTACTGTATGACAATTGACCCGCCCCAATTCAAGCCGTGAACTCGTTAAGTTTAATTGCAGCTAACTTTAGTCGCAAAAAATAATTGTTGATAACCACCCTACTATTTCCCATTTGGAAAAGACCTGACATGCCCCGTTTTATGTGGGATACATGGACAGTGGAAGTGGAAGGACTGGGCATTACAGCCGGGATGAAAGCCGACATGTGTTGTCGACGTCATGCCCGCTAGATCTAGACCCGGTTTGAATACTGCCGCTTTTGCACTGCTGGCGAATTTTCAAGCTTCGTAGTTTCTTCACTGGGATTAGGGTCAAGAAAATTCTTCTTCAAACAATTTGCTTTTTATTTCAAAAACATCAAAGATGCTGCCGAGGTAGAAATTGCTGATGTCCAACATATTTGTTTACAAACAAAAGGGTCAATGCGTTCATTGTATTTATACGCGCTGAATCGGTCACTTTAGTTAGCGGTCTTAAACTTCCATTTAAGTACAGTTTTGAATCAAGTATCACACAATGTCGTGCTACAATATCTAATCATGCTTCTGTAAATACTTGGCCCATATGTTCTCATTATCTTGAGGCCCCATAAGGACCTGAGTAAGAAGAGTCTTTGTGAAACCCTGCTTAGGTTACTTATTGTATTGCATGGGCAGGTTTGCTCATGGTTGATGCAGGTCATTGTTCAATGCTCATGATGTCAATCACTGGATTTTGTGATCCAGGTCCCTTATTCTCGAAACATTCGTAGCCCTAAGAATTCTTAACTTTGATCGTAGCCAGTGTGTTAAAAATGAGCTTAAGAAGTTCGTAGGGCTAAGAACGTTACGATAATAGCTAGCCTGATCATTTACACTGGACCATAATAAGCTGATATAATGCTCAGAGCAACAAATTAGGTAAGATTACAGAATACCGGATACCTTCCTAACTCCTAGGGTTAGGGTAAGGTTTAGGGTTAGGGATAGCGTTAGAGTTAGATAGATGTGACATTAACAATATGGTTAGTATGTATCCAGTATTCTGTAACTGTACCACAAATTATATTGGTGAGTACTGGACTAATTGGTCCATGTAGAGTACTTACCTAGACAGCTGTGACCATAGTGCACCATGAGGTCCGCTCCCAGAGCCTTGGCAGTGAAGTCATCAACACAACACGCTCCATATGTCACGTCACCCATGATGAGCGTGTCAGCATCGGTAAACCTGGAACAGCGAGGCAGCCACTCTTAACACCTGTGTCTGAGTATCACTCAAAATCATGTGGCATCAGATTAACAATGCCACTTGTTTCACGATAAGAAGACACAATCCAAACACAGAAATTGAACCCTAAAACCTCTTGGTCTATACTTTTACATCTTAACATTGCAAAAAACATTAACAACAAAACAAAATACTTATTTAAGTGGCCTTTAGAAGCAAGTATGATGAAGAGGAACAAGTGTTATGCAGGGACGGAAATAACTTTAAGATTGCTAGCGTACACGGGTACAGTGGCACATGTAAAATCACTTGCCCTGATAATTTGTCCACTATACCGCCCGTTTTCTTGTTGATTTTTTAAAATAAACAACATAATTAATATTGGAAAGTCAACTGGACACCGGTACAGTGTGATATACAAATTTGCTTGCCCGACAGAAAAAACCACTGGACTCGGGCGTCGGGGAAATGGGTTATTTCCACCCCTGTTATGGATTTGCAATAAAGAAGTTATCCCTCTTCAAAAACAAATTACGACATTCTGTTCGAGGACTTTTCAAAGTGAAGTTCTAAATAAAGTGAGCACATCCATTGATACCACCATGTCCTTGTGTTAATTCTTATAGTTGAATCATCATTATTAGGGATGGGTATTGCAGAGCATTTTCATATTGCGATACGAAAGCATATATTGCGATATGTATTGCAACATATCACAAGAAAGTTTTTTAAATAAAAAACTACTTATAATTGAGTTAATGCTTGATTATGAAGCAAAAACTCAACAAAATCACTATGCTTGATTAGGTTTTAATAAAACCTTTTAATCATGACAACATAAAAATGTAAATAATGTTTGGCACAAATGAAACATGGAAATGAATAATATAAAACCCCCTCCGGAAATATCCTACGATTTATGAGTGTTACGAAGTTTTCCGAATACATGTCAAAATACCGGTTTTCGATCAGCATATTGCAATACGTATCGTTTTCATGCCTGAACCGGTAAATACCGGTAAATCGGTTATATTGCGCAGCCCTAATCATTATAGGACTTAAGTCCATTCAATCCTGTTCAATCTGTATCCCATTTAGGCAAATGACAATCATTTCAATCCAGTCTTACAGGGAATGACCATTGTTACAGCCCTGACTTACTGTTCAATGATGTCTGCTATAGTACAAGCAAACAACAGCAACCCTTCAGGGAACTGCAGTGCAACTCTCTTCGCATCAGAGAACCGAATCTTCCATATTGTCTTGTAGATCTCAAAGTTGTAGTTTGAAGGCAACTTGAAAAAAATAGAAACAAAGATTGGTCAAGTACTAATGGGGACTATTTGACATTGTGTAATGGACAGTACTGCAAACAAGGATATGTTGAGCACCGATCTGACAACTGACACGTATTAGCATGTATGAGTGCCGCCCACTGGCGCTTCCCATAGTCAGCGAAGGTGCCCCAGGCTGTCCACGATCAAGTGTAGTGCGATGGGTGAAGCGCGTGGCCTTTCTCAGCAAACACCGAGTTCGACAACTACTCGCGGAATCAATTTCATCATCATGCAATGCACTAGCCTACACAAATACCTTTCACAAACCAAATGGGTTTGCTCATTGCCGTGCACTGACTACTTCTCATAAACGCATTCTCTGCGCCGGTCCAACTTATCATGCTTATCCTTGTTTGCCAGTAAGAAACAATGAGTTGTAAAATACAAACTGACTAAATAACTCATATTACAATCCCAAAATGTTGAATTAACTTGTGAAATTTATTCGTCTCATCATTGTGAACTTACAAAAATAAATTTCACAAATATTGTTTGAAATAATACATTACGTTAAGCTTGATTTCTTGTTTGGTGATGTATTACCCATCAACTAAGAACATCCCTGTAAATACACAATACCGTTTAGAAAGTGTTAACGAAAGTGTTAACGACATCCCTACTGACAGGCACATACCCCTATAACTATCGGCAGTAGTCAATAGTCAGCATGTTCACACTTCACCACAGCACCAGCACATTATGATGCATCATCTTGTTAAAATATATTTGTTTAATTACATTGTTCCAAAAATATTTATTCCAACCAAATATATATCAATTCTGCATTCAATGTTTCATACATTTCTCAGGGAATATTCAAAAGACATATCCATCTGTTTATAACACTTACTGTTTTAACTGCAGCTTGTATTTTCGGATCATTCAATATTTCTTCTGGTATCTGGTGAGCTACTCGCCTAGTAGGACCTGTAATAAAAACAACACGAATTAGATTCTAGTTGTGTGGGTCAAATGCTGCTGTCAGTAAAATTTTGACATTTTGTCAATGTCAAGATGCAGGTCATAAACATATAAGGGTAAAGTACCTATGACATGGATCCATCTGTTGGTAGTATGAATGTTTGGGGTGACCCTGATCAGTTTGTTTACAAGAATGTTGACATGCCATCAACCAATTCATTTATTAATTCATAAAACGCCAATGGTCAGTGTGGTATTTGTTTTCAAAAGTCAAAGTACTGGACACAGTTGTTTCTGAACCTTTCTTGGTACCTTATACAACTAAACGAATGACAACACGTGGTCATCACATGGCAATATATATTCCCCTATATCCACGAAAACAGGGTACACTACTGCCACTAGGCGGGGGTCCCCACGAGGTGGCAGCTCACTGAGCCAAACTGTAAGGACACATAAGTATATCGGTGACAATAACATGGTCAGTTGTATTCTAATCATCACCTTTCCCGCCACTGAAAACCTTTCTGTTACTGTTGGCGCTGACAACAACAGGTCCAGAAACATCGTGTTTCGTGGGAGAAGACATGTTGGTAAGGGGAGGTAATTCTATTTCCTTCAACAACTCTGCTCAACCCAATGAATGTCTCTCGGTTTGCGCTTTGCTGCTAACAGAACGTTTCTCACACCGGCACTGACGAGAGTCAAGGGACACCAAACAAGCTATTGTTGCTAAAACAACATAAAAAACATAAAACAGAATAATTCAAGCGTTGTAAAACAAAAATATATCTTGAACACGATTTTCCTTGCACCAGAATCTGCAATGTGCACTTAAATACACCGGGCAATTAAAAAATTGACACTACAACAAAATAACCAAATGCAATACCGACAGGACAGTACAGGACATTGTTACCCATTTCGCGAACACCTTTGATTTTCCGTGATCTAGATATATGTTTTAGTGTTGTTTTCCTCTTTGCGCCCAATGGTATCACGTACAGCTGATAACCAAGACTATTCTATTGCCTTGAGGTTTTATATTCACTCTCTGTGCTACATTTACATTTCCCACACAAGAGATGGAGTACCAGGGAGTGTATGTTATTTTGACCTATATGATAATGCCCCACAAGAGTAAATCATAAAAACAGCGACATAACCATTTCCATAATCACGCTTGAACTCAAAGTCTTCTACGATTCCGACTATATCCTAATATATGTGACTGACTGAGTTTGGTTCTTACGCCGCTTTTAGCAATATTCCAGCAACATCACGGCGGGGGACACCAGATATTGGCTTCACACACTGTGCCCATGTGGGGATTCGAACCCGGGTCTTCGGCGTGACAAGCCAACGCTTTAACCATTAGGCTACCCCATCGCCCCTAATATATGTGAATCACTATCAAATAGTGATTACATCAAATATTCGCGAAAAGATGAGCACCGTTACCAGCTGCACTCGTCACAAATACATGCAAATGCGAGTAAATTTCCTACTTCAAATATCCACACGTGGACATTAGTAAAAGTCAAAGTAGTGAACTGCATCGGAAATATGTTTTATTACTTATGTCGTATGCGTCTAAATTGGAATGGCCCCAAAGTGTCTGCCATAAAACGTCTCTCTTGAAATAGTTTCTAAGGCCTTGAATGTTGCAATATTTATCGAAAAACCTCTACTACGATTCATATGACGCCCTTTGAAATTTGCTAGGTTGAACCGTCAAGGTTGTGAAATGTGGTCAGCCAGTGAGTGGAATACCGTGCATGGTACGATCCCAGTTTCGGCATAGAAAAGACGTTTTGAAAGAGTAGGCAAGCGGGATAAACGATGGCCATGGATTTGTTTACTTGTAAGACTTAGGTTATTGCTGTGGTTGCGTAACAATTACGTCTCACGGGAAAAGGGATGGGCAAGTGTGTCTATTGCGCGAAGTGCTCCAGTCAAAGATGACACAACACAGTGTAGGCATAAAGAGCCATTGTACAGATACAATTATGGGAATTAACAAAAATCCGAGTGATATACAGGATGTGACGACAATACTTATTAGGGGAAACAATATTATTAGAGAATATATAAACACAATATTGGAACAAAAGTATATGTGCATATATGAGCACATAACCCCAAAGAGTATTTACATAAATAACTTTAATTATATAACCCAAAAGAATCGTCACACCCCTCCTATCAGAGGATTTACATAGAGCCCCACCTGAGGTGAGGTGAAAGTCACATTAACTTTAACGGCCAATGGGAAATATAAAAAAATACATATATATACACAAAGTGAGGCAAAATTTATTGTCAACACATTGGAATATATGAAAACCGTGGCTAATTATGTGGCTAAGGGAAATGGGGTATGACTGCCTGTTGAATGATCATACTAGTCAATATGAGGCTAGCTCCAACAGAATGTCGATACACCCAGCAGGTACACCGCTTGGGGCTACCCAGAACGAACACTTAAGTAAATTGATAATATGTTATAAATGGATATTACATGATTTATATTACTACAATTTGTAGGTATATTATTGGCCATATAATATAATACATTATATTATTATTGAATAAACTGTGACTTCACTTAGCAAGACATAACTGTGATTCGTATTCCACAGAACAGATTGATATGGTTGCATGGTAGTCAATGCTATGCCTGATGGCAACGTTTGATTGCGTAAGAGAACGAGAAAATAATCTTGTTCAGAAAATAAACAATATTCAAATGCTGAATATGCTATTACCCATCGGTAGCACTTTACAGATGTACTTGATAAAGTGACATGAGATCATAGTAGGCTTTTGCTATGTTAAGATAAACATGAAGCAGACGACGGACCCTAGTTTTGTTTACATCCGGTACAGCCATTTTGTAATGAAGCCGGACGGGAGCCGAAGAATGCCGAGGAGAGCCGAAGACAGCCAAGGATGTGTGCTGTTCAGTGGAGCGGCCAGCACTGGTCAGTGAGCATGATCGCCACTAATTGGTTCCAGATGATACCATGATACTCTAACTGAGCACATGGTTTGGAAACCGGGACAGTGATACAGCCACTTTTTAATTTAGAATAAGATGGCACAAGAGTTCTGTTGTTAACAGCAACAAGTTGTAAATAAATGGAATTTTGAAGTTAGCAATGAGCTAGAGACAATTTTGACTGGCAGGTCAAATAAGCAAATTAATGCTAAACACGCAAAGTACTTTACTATAATGAATTTCTAGAAGAAAATATATTACAATGAGTACATGTCATTTATTCTTGCCATCGAGTGCATGTTTGGACAGTCACATATGAGTGACCTTTCGCCAGTTTGGCACAGCAAGAATAATTGATGACAGTGACCCAACACTTGTTTTAATTTTGATTTATCAAATTAAATAATGCATTGATTTAAAAGCCGCAGATAATTACTTATCCTGCTAACAACATAACTATGCATTGGAATTTAATACAGAAGACCTAGTTGCAATATGGAAGCAAACTGAGGTTCTTACCTAAAAAACAATCCACAAGTTGAGTTGGCTTGTTGTCACCTCGACAGTGTAGGAAGAAAGAGGAAGATTTCAGGCTTGGGGGTCCCGCGCTCCCTCTTGCCCCTGTCATGTGACAACATAGCCCCTGGGGATTGGCTAAAATACTGTTGCAATGGAACCCATGGCACCAGTGCCTTGAGCCCCAGAACCCTTTCGGATAACTGGTAAAGGGTAGGATATTGGGTTACTTGTGGAAGGGACTAGGACAAAATATCCAGCCTTTACATACTCTAAGCCTTTCAAGGGCTTGCAACGAACCGCAGGGGGTTGTCTACCAAACGAGACGGGGGTGGAAAATGACATTCAAGGTCGTTGTTTTACGTTCGCCATGACCCGTTTCAAGAAAACCTGTCTGCAGCGCCAATGTCACGTGATGAGGTAATTTTACGACGATGTCGTATTGGCCACGGTGGTGGTTTACTTGATATCGGCTGAAAACGGATGGAGATGGACCTCCTATGTGTATCTCTCGTGATGAAGAGTTCACCATTATGGATATTCTACCTGACTGTGTGAAAACAGAGGCGTTGCTTGTCGGCACTAAGAAGAATCTTCATCAAGCGATTACAGTTTGCAACACTGTCAGTCCATTTTCGAAAACCTTAAAAAACCTTGGACTTCATCTGGACTCTGATCTCTCTTTGAAAGCTCATATTGACACAGTCTGCAAATCCTGTTACTTCCATTTGCGGAACATTAGCAGCATCCGAAGCTCCCTTGCTACAGCGGCAGCTCATGCACTGGTGCGATCTCTGGTTCTCTCAAAGATTGTCTACTGTAATAGCATCTTCTATAGACTTTCCGAAAAACTTCTATCAAAACTCCAGAAAGTACAAAACTCTGCAGCTCGACTTGTCAGCAAAGTTCCCTCTAGGATCCACATAACTACTGTTCTTATGACTCTTCACTGGCTACCAATCCGAGCCAGAATTGAATTCAAGGTCCTGAGTCTTGCTTACCAGTGTTACCACCACACGGCTCCAGACTACCTTGTTGAGCTAGTCACCAAGCACAATCCTTCCAGAATGTTAAGATCGGCAGATAGACACCTTCTCACCATTCCCAGACAGAAACTCCGAGCATTCGGGTTTCGCTCCTTCAGCTATGGTGCTCCACAGTTGTGGAATCAACTCCCGACTGAACTCAAAATGTCTCCCTCCATTGACTCATTTAAAAGTTCCCTGAAAACCCATCTTTTCAGAAAATATTACAATCTATAACTTAACTTTCCAAAAATTTCACCCTCGTTCTAGCATAACCTTTGCTTTGTAAATATTTGTAAATATGTAGCGCTTTGAGCATGCCTTATGTGTGGAATTCAGCGCATTATAAATACGTATTATTATTATTAAGATATGGTCTCGTCGCTGTATGGCTGAAATAACGCAGATGCGACGTAAAACTCAACAGCAGTCAGTGTTGTCAGTGATGACAACTTTAGACACATCGACGTGAACAGTAATATTTATAAACAATCAATGGACTTCCTTTGAACTGCTGTGCACGTGGCGCTCGTGTTCTACGTGTGCATAATTCACTGCGGCAACTGGACACTCATTGGACACATGTAAATCACGTGCAAAATTAGTGATGCATTGCGCAGGGCGTTACATTTTTACTCTCAAACTTTCACCGCATTGATGCATTAAAAATCAAATAGAGACGATTTTTAAAGAAATGTAGAAAAACGATACCACTTGAATGGACGTAATATTGCACATCTTTAGAAGGGTTTCAGTTCAATTTATTAAATTAATGTATCGGCGCCTCTGTTATGTTTTTAAATTTTCGGCGATTCGGTAATGTTTTGAGTCAATGACGTATAGATATGAATCTTTCTGTACTTCAAGAATTACGAATTCTTCATATATACTGAGGGAAACAAATAAGGGAACACCAGTTCATGGCAGTTTTCCTTTATGTATTTTCAGATTTCCTCCCATAGCGCTGTTCAAAACTGGTGATGAAAACTGGAAAATATTAATGGAAAGCTTGAATTTTTCTGTGTTTCTCTATTTGTTTCTCTCAATATATTTGTG